TGACATTAGCCGGTAACATTAAACTTTATTCAAAGAAAATCCATTTACAGAATCAAAAGATATGACAGAATTTGTAATATAAATTTTTGCGTAAAATTCTATTGGCCGAGCCTGACTTTTCGCATGAAGGTTCATATTTAAGAAATTGTACCTCATTAATGTAATTTGTTAGAGACATGTCAAACCTATATGACTGTATTTGTATAACACTTAATTACTAGGAAATGAGTATAAAGTTTGGCTTAAATTAAATTTTGGATTCATTTAGGTCTCAACCCGGTACGGAATTAGACCCAGCCCATTGTAGTCTAGAAAGTAGTTCTTTAAAATTATGAAATGGCCCAATTTAAGTCATCTCTAGTTAGATTGTTCATAATTAAAGTGTATTTATTGCATGTGTGTAGTTTTTGTGTGTTATATGATGACTTTAAAAGTTGTTTTTTGTGTATTCTCCAGGAACTCATTTGTTGGTGGAAGGATTAAAGATGTACTACCCACCAGCTGTCAGGAGTTTTTAAAGTGGTGAATTTAAACAGTGTAACAACAGAATGAAGATTTCTGAAAAAAGTAGATGGCTAACCTATTATATTTTGGGCATCATTTGACTTAGATAGTGTTAATGTTTAAAGTTGAAGACAGTATATAATTCATCAAGAACATTGGAATCCAGAATTAAACCTCAAATTTGACTGATTTACTATAGAACTAATAGTACGAAAATTCACCGGGCCGAGTCCTTATGCGCTAAATCTTAATGAATTTAATGTATGTGGTTCTCTATTCTGATTATATAATCATTTATAAATACTAAATACTTTCAAAAATGAAAACCGCTATTCGACCATGCTTTTATTACAACTTTTGTATTTACTTACTCAACTTTTTAAAATATATTTTGAAAGTGTAATGTGCAAATTGTACGACATGTTTTGCTGAAAACTGTGCATATCTTAAGAAAAGTGTTTCATTTTATAAATCAAAGTCATTTTACCTCTAAATTTTGACCAAATAACAAGAGGGTGTCAAATATATTTTAGAGTAGGGCAGCAAAACCCACTATCAGGGATTCATAGAACACAGTATTGTTAGCACATGATATAATTCAGAATCATTTTTGTAAAGTTAGATGTGCTTTAAACACTTGCAACCACTTACTCATTCAGATATGAAAAGGCGCACACCTGAAGCACCATGTGCACACCTTAGATTAGCAATAAACAATTAGAATGGCTGAAATGTTGAAATTTTCTCATTGACACTGATATCTAAAACATACGAGGGGTGTCCCAGAATTACGTGGACTTTTGCTGTAACTCAAAAACTACTGAAAAAAAAAAAAAAAAAATTAACATGAACAAAATGCAACTTTATTGCATTAGTACAGAAAATTTCAAAGTTGTCCGGCAACTGGATCAGTGTCTGTGGGCATGGTAATGAGACAAGGGGTAGCGGGTGCGGGGCAGTCCATTCCGACGCTACGACGTCTTCCGGTGGCGTCGCTAATTGTTAATAAATGCGTGGCGTCGAATGTCAGTTTTTCTCAACATAGTCGCCGCCTAACTCAATACACCTTTGGTGTCGATAAATCCACTGGTCGTACACCGCCCTGTATAATAATAATAAAGCATACTATTAACTTTTGTTACGATAATAGTGTTAAAGACGACGGTGATAATGCTGACGCCGTATTATTATTAATTATTATTTATCATTATTATTATTATTATTATTATTATTATTATTATTATTATTATTATTATTATTATTATTATTATTATTATTATTATTATTGTGGAGTTTATTTTGTACGCAAAGACAATGTGCGTTAACAAGGGAAATAACCTATCATGCGCACTGCTTACTTTAGCAGTTTGAGTTCACTTTCTTAAAAGCTGAAGCGGATAAATTGCGTATAAAATAATAAATTGTGATTAGCTAAATTTTTAAAAATCATTTTTTTTAAACACAAAATTATTGCTTACCCTTGAATAGTACTCAGCATTGACCTTGGTGTAACGCCTGTCCTGATCTATGACGTCCTTGACTTCCTTAATTAACGCCGCAGTCAACGTTGACTTTCTCCCACGACCCTTGTCGTCTTCAATGTCCTCTCGGCCTTCTCCAAAACGCTTATGCCACTTGAAAACGAGTGATCGACAAACAGGAGGTCTCACTTTTTCTCCAACATTTCCTGCGTCGTGTTGGCGTCTTCCCAAGATTAACAGAAAACTTGATGATAGTCCGATGTTCCGCGTAATCCGTGGACGTCATTTTTTTGTTAATTATCTAAGAGCAAGGGTTGTCAGTTGTCCGCTGGTAAACAATAACGGAAACAGCTATGTCGTCAATATTTCAAACGAACGTTCATATGACGTCACTGCATATGCTAACGACGTCGCGCCATTTTTTACGTATAAAAACGCAAGATATACGAAAGTAAAGACAACTTATTAATACAAAATATGGGACTGCCCCGCCCTGTGCATACTGCGTTACTATAGCGACGTAAAATATAGAGAAGCAACCTTAGAAATTTAAAAATAATGGACATGTTCATTAAGGATATGTTAAAGGTATTGTGTACAAATTTGCAAAGTTATAGCAAAAGTCCACGTAATTCTGGGACACCCCTCGTAAAGCAGTTATACCAATAGCAGTTGATAGTCATCATTACATTTTTAATTTCAATAAATTTGATAGGTAAAATTAATGGCTTTTAGATCTAAAATGAAACATTTTTATCAACTTATAGCTGTTTCTGCCACATAAGTCAAAGAGCTTTTGACAATGGCACTCTCGAAAATTCAATGGAGCTGTGTGACGTAAAAAAATTACCAGAATACAAGAACTGAAAATGTCATTATAATATATAAGTGTGCATATTTTGATATTTTCTGCACATATCACATCAGACAGAAAGATATTGTATCAATAATAATGTATAAGTATTGTGAAGAGTGTGATTTGCACATGTTGACACTCTGTTGTTATTGTATTGCTGGAGATGATAGTGTAAAGTTTGTATATAACTTTACTTGATTAAAGAGAGTGATACAGTAGTAGGTACATAATTAAAAAATAAAAACCCAAGAACGCCCTAAAAAAACACCTGAAATTGTTCATTGTGTTACAGGCTAAGTTTGATTTGGCAGTGAGACAATGTACAGTCTATCCCCTTACACCATCTTAAGCAGAACACATGATATTAATATGAACAAAGTGTAAAATTAAGAATTAGGAAATCTCAGCATATGATTAAACAAAGGTCAAACTAAAAAAAATAAAATTAGAGGGGATCAGAGGTTATGAATCCACTAGTGTAACACTTGTTATTTTCCATTTCAAATGTGTGCATGAGAAACATAAAGTATGTTTTTTACTAACTTGTACAAAAATGATAGTTCCAACTGCAATTTATGTTATCAAATAATACAGTATGAGTATGATGTAATGACTTCAAAGACAAAATAAATGTTAAATTGTGACACTAAATTATTATTTTTTTTTTTTCAAGATTTTTCGTTTACAGTTACTTGTACAATCATGATATACAATTGGCTAATATTTCGCGATTAATACAAAGCACTGATGGAGGCAAATAATTTGTAGTGTTTTCATGAATTCTCACATTCTTTATAACACATTTCAATGGGATATGCATATTATTCTGTACCTGGAAACGAAACATTTAAGGTCTAACTCAAGCATTTTTGAGGAAAAGTGATATATTTGACATCGCAATAAGAGACCAACTCAAGTTAGACCTATATTGCACAGACGAAATTGAACTACCTGAGATGGTCTTTTATTTTAGATGTAAATAAAAAGGCAAAAAAGCATAAATTACCCTAAAATTTTCACAGAATGTGTATTTGACCTTACATTATCAAAATATGTAAAAAGGTGATTTTTGGTAAAAATGTCACTTAGACCAGTTTTGCGCTGAGCCATCGCAATGTAGTATGTATAGTAAAAATGTTTAATTCTTAATTGATGTACGCCTAATGCTTTTTTATGTGGGGGATTTTGGGGTAAAGGAAGACTAAATGCTTAATATTATATTGATCATGCTCTTGACCGTCTAAATATTTGTTTGTATTTTTATTGATATACACAATTTCTCATATAATAGACTGTGTTCTACAGGTTATACTTATTGAAATATAATTGCGCACCAAATGCGTTTATTGAATAACATTTGTCCAGCGCTTGTCTACTGCATTGCTATCATTGCATTAATTAATGAAGACTTAGGGTGTCCTGCAGTGCGTACACCTAAGAAGAACCACAAACCTTATAGATCAAACTTATTAAAAAATAGAAATTATGTTAAGTCAGACGTAGCCAGTTGAGAGAGATTTGAAGTCATGATTTTTAAGGCTTAACCTCAGTAGGAGACGAACATATCATGGCGAAAGTGTTTTAAGAATGTAAAAATCAAATGTTTTGAAATGATTGGTCGATAAGTTGGCAAAAATCTTGCCTAGCGCGGACGTGTTATGTGTTCTACGTCAACGCAACACAATCGTTCGCATAAGCCATCGCTTTATGATATCGCAACTAGATTGTATGCGTCCACCTATGTCGGTGCTGTATTGCATGCAAAACTGATGTTGTCGAATTTGAATGCAGATTGTACTTCGGAGAACTTGAGATGTTTTATGAACCATCATGTGACTGCGAATGTTTAAAAATAGACAATAACCGCTGGGTAGGAAATGGGAAATTAAATAAACTAAATAATTAAATAAAACTTGAAATGTTATAAGAAAAAACATGAGCCTTAATTGTAAATGACATGTATTTTAAAAACAATCTACCTTTAAAACGACATTTGTTTTTGTAAAATAGTACATTTTGACAGTGGTGTGGAACTTTTAATAGGGAGACCACTCATTATTTGGGATTCATTTTAAGTAGGACTTTGGATTTCAATAAAATAAGTACAACTGGAAGCACATTGGATTAAAATATTGAATATCCGTGAATTCAAACCCCAAATCGAAATACGATTTTAAAAGTTCTGGAAGTAAAACCCTATTTAATCATGTTTTTTTTTAAATAAACCAAAAGCTTACATTGAACAATGATTTTTATAGTTGACTCTGCAGACTTTGAGAAATGTGATTTTGCTGTATTGGTACTAATGCATTTGTAATCTCCAGCATTCTCTCTTAACACAGTGTTTAGTTGAAGCACACGTGAAGACGTAGTAGCAGAGGAACTTGTATGTTTCGTCCATTTATAAGAACAACCAGGATAACAATCTGAAGTACATTCAATTTTTTCATCTTTATCCCCTTCTGTTACAGTGTGAGGTGATCTTTTGCTGAGAACTGCTGAATCTGGTCCATCTAAAACGTGTAGTTGAAAAATATGACATAGATAATTTGTGAAAATCATGTTTACTTAAATAGGTCCATCTGAATAATGTTAATCATTATTTAACAATAAACACTAGTTTAATAAGTCATATTGATGTTGTTTACTGAAACAAGTTTAAGCGGAAAATGTTTGCTTTTAGCATTAAACAGGTATTAACCATATTTTTGTATCAAATAGTAAACATACATTTGGCTGATATATCATGAACTGTGTCTATCCAAAATAAGGCTAACACAATTGTTAGAAGTATCAAAGTACAAAACCATAACATTATCATCCAGGCCACTTGGTGACCAAAGTTTTGTAAAGGATTAATTTTATCTATTGAGAAATGAAGGAAATTGTTTACGCCTAGCCACCTGTTTAAATTAAAAATGTAATATCGTTTTTCACAAAACGTGGTTAAAATTTATTACAGCCTTGAGAGTTCTTTCTATAAAACTTCTTTTATTATGCGCTTTTATGTTTATTGTACTTACTTATATGCGCTTATAATGTTTATGAATACACAGGGGAGGAAGTGTTACACGAAGTTCTTATGATAACTTGTTTGGAGTTCTTATGATAACTGTCACGGAGTTCCTGGAAAACGTTACGGATTTCAGTGGAAAACTTGTCTATATACTTGGAGAACTCATGTAAAAAATGGTCATTTTTACCTTTAAATGGGGAGTTTGAGGTGCTAAATTAAACTTTGATAATTAAGCTTGCCCTACATATTGTATCATATTTCAGAAAAACCTTTTAGTCCATTTTTCATCGCCTTTTTTAAAAGAAAAATCTACTAGTTTTGAGTAAAATTTCCAAATTACTTCTCATTCGTACATATTGTGATTTTCATTTTCATTTTTCATTTGTGATCTTCTTCGTTGCTATACATAAATACATAATTGTAATGCATAGTTGCAAACATAAAGCCCAGGCTAATAAATTTATACCCGATTTTTCAAATGTCACGAAGTTCTTGTGATAACTCAAAATATGTCCTGGAGTTCTTATGATAACTTTTGTTACTGCCAGTGTGTTTCTTGTGCTTAATTACGGCACGTTAAAGCGTAGTTTATCAGTCAATAAGTTTGTAAATCATTATACAGCATAGTACGCGTATCATTTGCACACACATTTGGTTATATAACGTTGATTTTGAGCGTATTTCAGTTCAAGAGATATTTTTCTTACCCCCTTTTCGTGTGGTTTTTTGTGTTTGTTTGTGTTTTTTTTTTTCATTTTATTGGAATGACTTAAAACATATTTGATGTAGAGCATTTACTAACATGATAAAAATACGCTTTGCATTTAATATTTAATCATGATTTCTTCATGTATACACTATTCTTGGCAGTTTTAGAGAACATTAAGTAATTATGCTATCGGTTTGCCGAAACAAATTACATGTAAATGGTTTGCAGCAAAATAGGAAGTAGTATATGCACTACCTTTATCTAAATTGAAGGGGTGGGTGTCATCTTTAGGTATTCAATGGATATTTTAATTTCTAAAAGGTATCAATTTTGTCATAGAAACGTATAAAGTTCTATGAAAATGATATGACAATAGAAAGTAAGTCTTTAATAATATATGTGAGTCACCATAAGGTTCATGCCGTTTCTTTCTCTATTAAATCCAATGAAGCATCACGTGACGTACAGAAATCTCCATATTGCGGAAAATTATTGCATACATTTTTCTTATCAAAATTGGGAGTCCGTCTGGCATTCCCCCTAAATAATCCTAGTTGTGGAAACTTTTTCTGTAATTGATAACAAAAACATATTGTCGAACTTCTTTCGCTCCAACCTGTAGGGCACGTGCAAATCTGTTGAAGAGATCGATAGTAATCGGTTATTTTTTTATGTTTAAAAAGATCATACATTTCAGGTGCATGGGTGTGAAGGGTATCCCAGATATTTACTTGTTGTTTATGGTATAAAATGATACAAATTACTTAGCCGCTTCTTAAGGAAAGCCCAAATATGTATTGTCTGCACAAGAAAGGCGATTGCTTAAAACATGTAACTGAGAAAAAAGTTTATTTTTTAAACATTTTTTGCTTGGAGGGTTAAGCCATGTTTCTGCTGAATACAGGTGACTGCTGGTTCAGGTTTTCCTGAAGATAGCACATAATTCACCTGTTAATCCTTTGTAGACTGTTTCATGTTCAATCTATTATTAAAAGATTTGGGGTTTTCTGACAGCCGAATCCTGAAAAAAATGACAGTTACCTAAAATTTACGTGCACACAAAGCTATATACATGTACCGCATATTAACTTTACTTTGTCCTCATAATAACGATATGCATGTCTATTATGCGACTTATATATTTCTCTGTAGTTGCTGTAAATTCAGCGTTAACATTTCAAAGGAAACTTATGACATAAAACTTGAAACATTTAGTGCATTCGTTCGGTTTTATAATGTAAATACGAATTCGCACAAATTTTATTAGAAAAATATCTTTTTAACTAAAACACGCTCAAAACCAACATTATATATTACCTATTTTTGTGTAAGGCTGAGAGTATAAAGTTTCATGATAATTTAAACACTTATTAAATAATAGAATACGCATAAACGTACCGTAATTAAGCACAAGAAACACACTGGCAGTAACAAAAGTTATCATAAGAACTCCAGGACACATTTTGGGTTATCACAAGAACTCCGTGACATTTGAAAAATCGGGTATAAATTTATTAGCCTGGGCTTTATGTTTACAACTCTCTATTATCATTAGGTAATTAAGTATACCAACTAAGGAGAACACAAATGAAAAAGTCAGTATGTACGAATGAGCAAGTAATTTTGAAATTTTATTCAAAACTACCACATTTATTTTTAAAAGACGATGGAAAATTGACTAAAAGGTTTTTCTGAAACATAATATAATACGTAGGGCAAGCTTAATTATCAAAGTTTAATTAAGCACCTCAAACTCCCCATTTAAAGGTTAAAATGACCATTTTTGCGTGAGTTCTCAAAGTATATAGAAAAGTTTTCCACAGAAATCCGTAACGTTTTCCAGGAACTCCGTGACAGTTATCATAAGAACTCCAAAAAAGTTATCATAAGAACTCCATCCTTTGTGTAACACTTCCTCCCCCGTGTTGTCGCACTATCAGTAATAATGTTGCCCTAAATTGGTATCTTCTTTTCTTCTTTTTTTTTGTTATTACAACATTTCGTGAATTCACAGAAGATTTCCGGCAATTTAAAATATTTACAAAGGCGCAAAATAAATAACTTTAGTCATAATTTGATTGACTAATTGATTAATTTATATTGATACAACTAGAGGAACATTGACAATGAATTTGAATGCTTCTACGGTGAGTTATGCATGTGTACCAGATGGGTGGTAAATGTTCCATTGACTGATTGTTCTTGGGTAAAATAAAAACTTGTACGGATCTTTAGATAGCTATGTTGGCAACAGTTTTTACTTCTTATGGTATCAGATCTTTGGATTTCTTGTGGTTGTCAATTAAGATTATTTATCATACTGATGACAGAATGTGTGTTGTGATTTTGATAATTGACATCTTTGCAGTTTTCTGTTTTATTTATTTAATTTGTATCCTTGGGATTTCAGAAAGTTAAAGCATATTGAAGGATGATGTTTTGATATTTTGCAGAATTTTCTTGTCTAAGTTATGGAGATTTGAAGTCCATCAACAAGTCTAAATTCTCGGTGATATAAATAGTCAGGGAAATCATTGATGTTGAATGCGTAGAGGATCAATCCTAAGCCCGTGCCCTGGGCGTCGCCTCGCCTGCTGTTAAAGGAATTATTTAAGGTTCCTTGTCCTCAAACTCGACTGTCTGGGTCCTATCCTCTTAAACAAATCATTGATTACATGTAATGTCATAAATTCCAATTTTTGTAAGATAAGTTTATTAGGCACATTGGCAAATGCATGTAAAATCCATGATGATTATGTCTGTCTTGACTGAAGGAAATTAGTTTTGCAAGATCGGAAATAACGTAATAAATTTTAAACGTCATACAAGATATAATTTTCTTATTAAAGACAAAACATTAATTGATATTATAATTTCTACTTCATGTATGAAAACAGATTTTAAGTAGATTCTTCTTTTATGATCTTTTTTGGTGGGAATAGGAATATTGAGTAGCATATTTGCAACGTGTTTTCAATAATTAATGTACATTTGTGTTTTTTTTTATCTCAGATTTGAGGAATCTTACTTTTTATCGTTATGTTTATTTTTAGGTTTGAAATACTTACGCTTACAACTATTCATTTATCTGTTTAGTTCATTGAAAATCCAGAAAAGATTTTCCTTTCATTTCTTGTTTTGGAAAGTGAGATATTGGTTAGTGAGCTGTAAGCAATTACATGAAGAAGTTTTTGGAGTTTTTTATGTATTACATATAGAGATGATTGTTGTTCAGTCATTATTGCCAAGATCATAAAAGTCACCGTCAATCAGGTAAAATACTTTGCGTTTGAGATTACTTTACTAATGGAACTGTCTACTTGTCGTAGGAAAGTCTACTCATAAGGATGGTTGTATAAAATAAGCATTTGATAAGCGTTTTTGATTATACAGAATTCGTCTTAGTTCGATTGTGTAGGAAGCTGGATGCACACACTTTCAAATCTGTTCTTGGAACCAACCAATACTGAGCAATGAGTGTAAACTTTGTTGCTCAAAGAAACAACTACTTAACCCGAACGTGTTTGGATCCATTCGACTAGCGATCATTTGATTACTAATGCGACGCGTTCAGCCCTCGGCATGCCGCCACTGAATTAGCCTTTGTGATATTAAGAAGTGTTTATTGACCCTGACTTTTTTTAAATTGTATATTTGGTCATAAAATTGCACTGAGGAGTAGATATTTTTATAAGCCCATCATGGATTGGCCATTCAAAATATTGGTATTTTCGATTTAGGGGTCACGTAACGACTCATTTCCAACAACTATAACTTTGGAAACCAAGTCTATTGGGGTATCTTACTCTGTCTTTTTGGTTCTTTATTGACTGAAAGATAACAATTTGAACTTAAGACCATAATTCTGTTAAATTTTGTCGCAGCAAAAATTCCTTCCTTTACTACCATCTACACATTAAGGTTGTTCATCCCGGAAAGTTTAAGCAAAATCTGCCATCCGGTTTAAGAGTAGATGCGTTCACAAAATTTCTACATAGTATATAGTGAAAAAGTCAACAAAGGACTATAATTCTGTGATATTTGGTCGCAGCGAAAATTCCTTCATTTACTAACATCTACACATTAAGGTTGTTCATCCCTGGATCTGGAAAGTTAGGCAAAATCTGCTATCCGGTTTAAGAGGAGTTGCGTTCACAAGATTTCGGGACGTACGGACAGACAGACGTACGGACGGACGGATAAGGTTCGCTATATACTCCCCACTTTGTGGGGGCATAAAAACTATGTATTTATAAATCAAATTCTATTTAATATCATAGCAACTAGATTTTTCATAAAATAAAATGATGTGCATAATATTCATACTGCCATCTGTCTATGTGTAAAGTTTTATGAAAATGTTTTGTGTACATCGTAAGTTAAGTTACTGTATGTGTAGAAATATTCGCGGGCTTCAAATTTTCGCGATCTTCGCGGTGACATTCGATCCGCGAATTCATGTTTAGCGCGAATATTTCTACACCAATAATTTCTTAATAGTCATATTTTCGCGGTTCTATAGAACAATGTATATCAATGTGAGATATGCTTTCACACTTTTTATTTAAATGTTTACTGAGTAATTGTGTTTGTTTTCTAAGTTATTTATCATTTAAAATCGTTTATGTTTGTGTTTTTTTTTTGTATCGTTTGTTCAGAAAAAAACAAAACATGATCTGATCAGTTGTCAAGACGTTTATGACGCAAACTGTGAAAAATTATGCAAGTTAACAGGCATTCTTTTGTTTTGCTATAATCTGTCCGCTAGACAATGTCTTTTTTTGTACAATAGCGTGTTGTTTGACACCTGGTATTGAAAATAACTGTGAACTCCTGTGATGATACAGTAATTTTCCCTATTTTTTAACCTGAGTGGTCAACGCGAATTTATGATTTCCGGCAGTCACCTCCGCGAATTCAAAATAGCGCGAATATTTGTATAGACCCCAAAGTGGACCTTTCCGCGAAAATTTGCTTCCGCGAATTTAAATACACATACAGTATATGAAATTGTTTTGAGTACATACACAGTTATCATAGGTTCCTGCTTCTGCGAAAAGGTAAACAGACAGACAGAGGGCAAATCTTCAGCGCCGATAGGTCAAGTTAGAAATCCATATAATGAGGTTTAAGATGTACTTGTATTCATTTGTCAAGTGTCAAGTTTCATTAAAGCAAGAAATATGTCCATAGAATACGGATGAAAATAAAGAGAGGCAACTCTTACATGTAATAATGAGTACAACAATATCAAACTTAATAAAACTGTTATATCTGCCACATACATCAGATGCTTTATAGTTGACTTTGAATATCTTCTGATTTTATCAAACCAATCCTAGCACACGGTATTCAAGTTAAACAAAGGTGGTTATGATATATAATGTAACGGTACGAATTGTTGAATTCGTTCACAGAAGTACTCGTCAGCAGTCAGTAATAAAATGCAATACATGGATTTCAACTTTGGCAACACTAATACAGGGTAATTATCAACTTCTTACAGTTTTAAAATGTTTGTGAATTTGATAAATTTAATTATTTTTTTAAATGTTTCCAGAATTATTTTAAAATAAATACAGAGAACTGTAAGTCTTCGCCGCCTTCTTTCCTTGAAGGACTATATTTGGTTGTAGAAAACCCAACTTTTTGACCAAGTATATAACCACGGAATAAACAAAGTTTACTATTTATAATTCTGTGGTTTCGAATTTGTCCCGTTTCAATGTTAGAATAAATATTCAGTGTATCCTAGCATCTCTTTTTACATCAATTGAGAGATATTTTAAGTCATGGGATGTGATATATACGGTTGCACAGAGGTGACATTTATGCGTTTTTATTTATCTCGAGCACACGAGATACTATGTCATAGCAACGAGTTACTTAATGTCGTGACCACGAGATGATTGAGTGGTACGCACGTGATACTATGTCGTGACCAGGAGTTACAAAGTCGCAGCCGTCAGATAATTAAGTGGTGCGCACGGGATACTATATGGTAGCCATGCGTAACTTAGTTACTAACCGGTTGGTGTTATTGTCTCTTTGCTTACCCACAGAACGAGAACCAGACACTGACTGTAAATACCGAAAATGAGAGGATAAAAATGACCGGTACTGGCGGGGGAAATGGGCGGAGCTTATTTATCTCTTATGCAAATGTGTACAATTGCGAATAATGAGAGTTTGACAATGTAAAGATATGAACGTAACTTCTGTTTTGTCGGCGTATGCTAAAAAAAGGAGTTTCCCGCGTGTTATGATGAAAACATGTTTACAATGATAATTAGGCAAACTCAATCCATGAGTGCAACGTTGGAATTGACATTCAAAAATACAATTTTATTTTGTCCGTAAACAAACTGTTCGACACAGATAAACAGGCTGGATTTTTGACAACGAATAGCCTACATAAACACATTCTTGTTAAGTTCGTTGACTGTAGCTCAAGCGAATTTTGAGCTACGTTTGACACAACATGAAAACGCACAACCGAACGCACGCACACGGGAACGTACGGAAGGACAATGGCAAATCTCAAAAATTACCAACGTTATAAAGGGTCCAAATGTATTGCTGTTTTTGCAATATCTCATGTATATTTGTTGTCCTAGCAATATCCTTTTACAACATAGGAATGACATGCATTATTTCTTGACTATAATATTTGTTTTTAACATAGGAAGAAAAATAAGTGGACCATCATAATCACTTTACCTCTTTAATCTTGAACTGGTATCATATCGTTCATTTCTGCATCTTAAAGGTTGCAAATGCGAACAAGGTTTTCTTCTATCTACATTTGAGCTGTGTAGCCTAGATTTTGTCTGAGTTGACCAATACCATGATCTAACGTTCAAAATATTTTCAGGATTTTTGTGCCGAAATCAAGCCCCCTTTATTATTTATCTCAATGAATCATTAATTTTTATGTTTTTTCCTCTTTTTTTTTGTTATATTTTGCGATACCTGACTACTAAGTTTTTGTGCATACCAATCACCGCTAGTATGACTGAACAAACTTAAATTATCGAATTTTACATCTACATTTATACATCAAAGTTATGAGTTTGTAACAGAAAAAAATATACAGGAAATGTTGATCCACTAATGCTTTATGTATTAATAAAAACAAACTATATTATAAAATAAAATATAAAGATGAATCTTTTATTTGTTATATTTTGTGATACTTGACAACAAAATTGTGTGCGTAACAATAACCAATTGTATGAATGTACAAACTGAAACTATGGACTTTTTCATCTACATCTATATATCAATGTTATGATTTGTAACAAGAAAAGATACAAGAAATTAAAGATATGATAATTCATCCACTAATGCTTTATATAATAATAAAAACAAAATATGTTAAAGAAATCTGAGAAAAAATCTTTTATTGAGGATTCGAATTTGCAACTTCGGGATCGCTATGCTATCATAAATAGATAAATACATTTAATTTATATTATGTCTTTACTTTTACCTTTCTTATTTCAATAACACTCTGAAAATGTAATTTGTTAAGCACGAAAACAGTTTTAAACTTTTCGTATTAACTTGCGCACTAGTGATTGATGTATCTGGAGTTATGCTTAAATAATTCCTAATTATTGTTTAAGATATTTACCTGAAAACAAAAGAATAAAACATTGTCAGTTAGACAATCTTACTTACTTCAATCATATTAAGTGCGGGAAATTTCAAATTGGCACTGAACATTTAATACTGCTAAAGGGACATCAAAGCCTAGTAGTGACAGGAAAATAAGACAGTCTACTTACATCTCACATTGACAATAGTTTGTATTGTTGTTGTTGAAGATGAAATCTTTTCAGAATTTCTTGCTATACAAGAATATATTGCAGCATTTTCACGGTGTAGTTCCCCTATAGATAAAACACTTGTACCACTGACTGTGGTTGTCTGCCCTTGTCTTGTCTTATTCCATGTGTATGTGCAATCAGGATAGCACTCAGAAGAGCAAGTGATATCACTTAGACTCTGTCCTTCATTTTTGGTGTAGTTTTGTGTTGATGGTAATAATTTAGTTGATGACTGGTATGGTCCATCTTTAAATCAAATAAACATATGAAAAGGTAAATGCAGTTTCCATTTGCATGCCATATCCTTAGCCAAAAAGAGCTGATAGTACCTACATCATAGTATAATACTAATCATAAACAAAGAATAAATTAAAAGAACTCAGCAATTATTTTTGTGTTAAAATGTTACATACTTATATCATCAAGGAGTGTAAAAAATGACAATACGAAATTAACCATTTATTTACTAGTAAGCGAAAAGGAAAACGGCAATTACATGATTTAGGTATGATTAATATTACGTCAAGTTAGGTGCTCTATGTCACTTAACAAAATAGTTATAAGTAAAATTTATTATAATAAATTTAATGATACCTTATTAAAATCAAACATACTTATGGGAGCATACGATTGAACCTACACACTTATAAATAGTTTGTCTAATAATACTGAATGTTTTTTAGTGTCATTAAATGTATACTGTTGCTGTTCCAACATATCAATATAATATACCCATCACAACTTAAAAGAATAAATTATGTACTTTTCAATTGTATTTAAACGTCATGAACGTTGCTTTGTCGCGTGCTTTTTTTTTAAAAGTTTGTCATACAAAGACATCAATGTCAATGTAAAGATAAAGCATGCAACTTTTTAAATTTAGCCGTTTTAGGCTTTTGTGATGTTTTCGTACTTTGTTTTTTTTAAATCTTGTAATTACATTTACTGGTTATTACTTATTAATTTATAATATATAATTTTGTTACAAAAGTGTGATAATGCTTGTCACAGACAAGCTTCAATACACATATTTTTTATTATGCCATGTCATCACCGTTTGCAGTACAATTTATTCAACACTTTGTACTTATTTTTTACTTTTGAATTTCGATCTTCGAGCTGGGTCGAAGTTCATCTCTAGCTCAAAATTCAGCTTTGATTTACTTTGAGTTTCAATCTTCTAGCTTGCTCGTAGTTCAGAGCTAGCTCAATATTCACTGTAAACTAAGTTTCGATCTTCGATATCAATGCGAATTTCTCGTTACTTAAAAATTACTTATTGTGACATATTACCATAGGCATATATCATTTACATAAATACAAGTCTGTTTTAAACTACGATAAAGTTAAAAAAAAATATATTTGTTTTACAGTGGTTTCCTTTGATTGCGTGTTTGTAAGTCAATTCTGGAAGATTGCTTACTTGTTGTATTGTGTACCTGCTTTTCGACTATTTTGAAACATTGAAATTTGGAGTTATGTCATAAAAAAAACGAAGATGGAATATGAAATGATACAAGTGCATAAAATTAGAAAGAAAAAATAAACTCATAAATAAGTTTTATTCCGCATGCATTTAATCGATACATTCCCCTGTTTATGAAATCTACCACCTATTAATAATGCTAACTTCATAAATTTGATTTGTTTTAATGTGTAAAAATAATTTGGACATTATTAACGCTTTTAGAGATTAAAGTACTAATGAATTTAAAATTTAAAATATTTGAGTCACTGAGTAAAAACAAAAGCAACGGATCCAAAGTAATCGATTATGACTATATAAAGTGTAGCGATGATGATAAAGAGTTATATCGTTTTCTTTTGATATTTTAATAATATATGTCTCACATGCGATGAAAATAATGTAAAAAGTGTAAATAATACAAACAGAAAGAATGCAGCAGCTGAGATATTTTATCTAGACATAAAATATACCAAATAACCCAAGAATATAATTTTTTATGTTTATTTAGTTATCTTTATTAATTAATTATTTTCTAGCATTTTTGACCAAAGAATAACTGGATTATAATGAATATGACATTTTTTCCAAAATCTAAATTATTGGGTTCTTTTTTGTTTGTTTTTTTTTCTTTAAAGTTAGCTTTCCTACTGATGCTTTATTTATATAATTGAATTACATTTCAAGCAGAATAAAATATTGCAACGTTTAAACAAGTTAACATAAATGCGCTTTGGTTTAATTGTTTTAAGATGAATTATCCTGTTTTGAATTGTAACATATTTAGATTAATTAGTAGTAAATACCGCTCTGTTAAATCTTGTGTTTTACATATTTATTTATATTTATACATTTGTTTATTGAGCATCTTGAACTTTGTTTGCAAAATGTTTTAAATTCTGGTAAACCTTTCGATATGTCATAGGGATTTCAATACTATATAGTCTTGTTATCCTATTTTAAACCCTTTTAATAAGATGTACCTACTGTTTGTACAAAGTGTTATGAACTTTATATGTAATACACCTACCCAAATTTTGAAACAAAATAGGATGATATATACTTACATCTTACGTAAATAGCAACCCTCTTTTCCCTCCATCTAGACTGCATGTCACCATTAGTAGCCCTGCATGTATAATTTCCAGCTGATGATTTTTGCACTTGGCCCAAAGACAGAGTATCTGTATTGACAATAGTCTGGCCATCTTTGGTCCATTTATATGTACATGCAGGAAAACAGTCAGCCTCGCACTTTATATCGTGTAATCTTGTGCCCTCATCAACTGTATATACTGATTTCCCATTTGTTACTTTTAAAGAATCAGGACCAACTGTAAACAAGAAATATACTAGCGTAATGATTAAGTGCCTGATACATTTAAATAGTGGGAGTTATCCCTTTTAAATCAAAAGATCAATATCGGAATTAGTTCTCTGACTTACAAGAAGTAGCCATTATTGAACATGGTGGATATCGAATAGCATAAATGATAGCAATATCATGAAATATAAACTATTAATGTTAAAAAAATGCAATTAAATGAAATTGTTTTATATTCATTAGTTTGATTTCAAAATTGTCCAAGGTTTGTGATATTTTGTCTGGAGAAGCATACATTGGGAAAATAATCTATTTGAACATGAACAAATCCCGTAAACATGATTTACGCAGTACAGAGAAACAAATACTTTATTGTAGATAATCGCAATTGTCATTGATAAAGATTTGTGGTTTTCTTTAACTACACATGTTTAGCAGAAAGAAACAAAAAAATGAAAAATACCAATATCAAAAATGGTAATTTGTTCAATTAATAAATAAAACAATGTACCTTCTTGGGCGTTTGTTTTACATAATTATTTACTGTCTGAAAAACATATTAGTAAAAACAGTGCCTAATATACGCCTAAAGTAACTTAAAATGATTAATTGCGTGATAATGTGCAGACTGACATCAATGCAATAATTAATATGTATTCGTAAGTTGCTCTACCTTATTTTCGGTTAGTCTGTTTTATAGAAAAGGCAGTGATTAAGACACAACGTTAACACAGTGTCTTTTTTACAAAACAGAATGAATCTTACTCTTTTTAATTTGACGTGTCTTAAAATTGATTTTCAAATTATTGGTGATGAAAGTTTAATGTATATCAAACAATTTAATAGTCAAATTACTTTTTATAAAATGTGTGTTATAATCCTCTCTCTCTCTCTCTCTCTCTCTCTCTCTCACTCTCTCTCTCTCTCTCTCTCTCTCTCTTCAGATAAAATAAGATATTTTTCTGTAAGAGAGATAAAGCACTTTTCATTACCTGCTATTAAAAGCACAAACTCAATCTTCAATTTCACCCCTTGGTATCTTTATCGATTGCATTTCATGTTTCTCCATTTAAAATACTCATTTTGCAATTAAGCATATAATATTAAAGAGATAATGTTTACTTGGTTTAAGCTCAATATTTTATTCATTGAACAAATATGTATATATTAAGATTTTGATCAATACAAACAAAGAACCACCACTATACAAATATCTGTTTACGCAAATACTTTACATCAGAACTGGTTACAGTCAACCAAAATAATTACAGTCAACCAAAAGAATTAATAACAAAAATCAGGCTTTAGGTGTAAAATATTTTTCAATTACAGGAACTTCGACGAATAAGACTAAGTATAGTCGTAATTAGAAAAACAGTACGTATGTAAAATATCAACTTACATCTAACTTCAAGTAGCAACTGTTTTGTTTGTAGTGGTTGTTGAGACAGTTTAACGTTTCTAGCAGTACATGTATATGTTCCAGCCATTGACTTTGTTAAAGGACTCAGGTCAAGCACTGCTCCAGACACACTAAATGAATTTGGTCCAGACCAACTGTAGCTACATTCCCAGCAATCAGCTCCACATGTGATTGGTGCGAGGGTATAGTTTTCATTATGTCGATAGGAGACAGCAGTTGGATTGAAAAATATATTCCTTGGTCCATCTGTAAGAAATATAATATATTCTTCTAATTATCACCTTTCTTTGTGTTTTTCTTTTCCTTACTAATAATCTGTTTTATTTTCTTTTTTTTCCAATACAAATAAGAGTGTTAAATAATATTATATAAATAACACATGGGTTTGTGAGTAACAGTAAAAATATCATCCCGAGGAAAATACTGTTATCCGAGGCGTAGCCATGTGTTATTTATTTTATTACCCCGAACAAATACTGTGATGATCTGAAATTGTCAACTTAATCTAACTATAACAAAAATAAACCAAAAGTAGCAAACTGTAAAACTGTGTAACTCAACTGTCCTTACCTTTTAAGTTTTAAGTGTACTTTAGGCCTACTTGAGAAGTTTTCTTTTTCTTTTACTCTTTATGCAAGTGATGATATTTACAAATCATAAACATACAATAAGCTAGGTTTTATTTAGAAAACAAAACACTAACCCATTTACAAGGTTATGATCTGTGAAATCTGATCCTTCTGTTTAGCATGGTTTTTGACAAAATAACGATGATATCCTATGTCTGTCCACCATATCTGTAACGTGTCACTGATTATAATTGTTAAATAATCCTTTGTGCATGTTTAAATCGTCTGCATGTTCCAGTTTGACACATTATTATTTACATTGCAATTACCTCCGTTGAAAACGGATGTTCACTTTTTGACTATTCAACAAAAAGATATTTTATACGCGAAAAGCACACCAGGGTGCGAACAACTAAGTTTTGTGAGTGTCATAGTTACTCCTGGGAAGACATTGATGTCATATCGGGGTTTAAAATCGAAAATAAGAATGAATCGAGAAAAAAATGGCGGCCTTTTTATTTCATTTTATTTAGGAAATAGACCACGTGACCAGATTTTATACTGTTCAAAAATACTGTTACCTATGTAACAGTACAAAATTCTTAGTCGCGTGGTACACTTGCAGTAACAGTAAGAATAACTCCCAGAGGCCTATGGGAAATTAACATTACGAAAAAAGTGAGGGGTAATAACATATATTATAACACGTTAGATATGTGTTTTGTTTAAGCTATTTTTGTATTATATAAAAATAAGTTAAACCTATAAATTATAATCCTGGAAAATTATTATTTGTGTGATCAACTGTCAAAGTTGAACAAACACAGTAAAAGTAAAAACACAGCACGTCACAATGTATAATTATCATATCTCACAGTCTGAAAATGATAGTCGACAGCTTTGCTATTTTCATACTTCGTAACAATAGAATCACTGTATGTGATAATCTTATACAAAAACAAGCTTTATTTCTTTACATGCGGATTAACTACATCGTTATTAATTGATGTAATAACGGACAAAATGAAATGTAAGTAGAACATAATGAGTAAATATGAATTATATTATAATTTAAGCGAATATCATTACAATAAAAGAATACCATAGTATTCCATTCTATATATTTAAGAAAAAAAGTACACAGCACTAAGGCCTCATAGAATTATAATGAACGATCAGTCACGTCCGTAAACATTTAGCAGATCGAAGCAGAAGACTGAGGTCAGTTCATTTTTTTCGGGCTGACTAGGGATTCACTATAATGAGGTCAAAAGTAGGCTACTGTGTGCTATTTCTTATATTATATTGCACTAATCATTATTTAAATTCACTCAAAAAGGAAATTATGTTGTTAAATAAAAATTGTTGTTGCCTTTGTTTTTGTTGTTGTTGTTTTTGTAAAATGAACTGAAAACGGTTTGTTATCCTCGCTACTTAAGTTTAGAAGCCCGACAGACCTGTAATAGAGCCCTTTCATGCGGTCACTTTACTTTTTGTCGTACTGCTGACGCCATCGTGAATATTACATTATTTAAAAGCTGACAGACACTACAGAAATAATTATTTTTGTCCAATCAGATGGCAGTATTTTTCAAATTTTGAAAGAACTTATTTTAGTAAATGAGCTTTAAACAACCAGTGCTACTAACCAGGTCAATCGAATAAACTGATTAACTGACGCTATTATGCATGTGCGCCTTGGAGGCGGAGTTACAGGGATATTGTTTTTTTTTATATTACATTCGTGCGATGCACAAAAGCTGTTAGTTTAGAGGCTCGTCTTATGATATCGTGGACATTTTTTCATAGAAATACATAGGATAAAAGAGAAAGTAGCCGTGAAAACAAACACATTTATTTAATAAACTTTTCTCTCCAGAAACAAAAATTATATGTAATAGATTGTGAACAGTTGTTTTATTTTCAATCCGAATTTTCAATCTAAACGTTTTTACTGAAATTTACAGCAGTTAAAATAGTACAGCGATTTATATGTTTTAAAGTTTTGCATGCTCTTTAAAGTGATATTATGCCGTTACAAGGGTATACAGTTAGTGAGCGGGTGAAGATCAAAATAAGTTTTCATTGTGCCATAATTCCTTTCAATTTGATAATAAAGTTAGCATAAACAACAAATAACATGCAAATGTAATTTTTGTAAAGATTCATTAGAATTTACCTATAACGCTTAGTTTATAAAAAAATGGGACAGTTTTTTTTTAATTTTAGGTGTATTTATAATGTTCTCCAAAACATTTTCCATTCAAACACCATTTAATTTTTGACAGTCAATCTTTTGAAACATAAAGTCAATTCAGCTCAATTTGACTATGATAATATGAGCATTATGTCACTTTAAAGTTTCCTTAGAGAACTTGTGACATTTAGAAATAAACAACATCGGGGGAATTCTAGCTTGAATGTTCATGTGCAATAACTGAGACCCCATTTCAGTAAAATCAATTCTTTGAACAATATATTTTCAGACTACATGGAAAAGGTTAGGAAGTTCATTTTTTTTTATAAAATTAACACTACTTACTGGTACCGAATTATATTCACAATAAAAAGGGCCGAAAAGCTGCTTAAGACTTTCAATAAAAATGAGAAAAGGCGTTACATTGAGGCTTATATTCCATTTAATAATTAAAGTAAAAGAGCAACATTGAAAACAAGGTAATGCTGGACAGGTACCTAACTTTATTCTAACAAATTACTCGTCAGTAGATTTATTTCTTAAAGCAGTAAACACAATCATTCGTCCTGAATGCGCATTCCAATGTCCTTATAAACGTCATAACTATAAACACTAAACATAATCCTTGACCTTCATGATTTAAGTGCCAGCTCAAAGATCAGACGTCGCCAATGTTGACAGGCGTGTTTGTTGTGTTTCGGGGTGTCAATCAATATCGCGTGACGGAAGAGGGCGGAGATATTTAGAGAGTGTACAAAAATAATTTAAAACACTAAGCCGGTTAAAATTTATTAGTACGCATTTACAAAAATAAATTGGTCGCGTGGCTGCGCCGCGCCTGACCAATTTATTTTTGTAAAAACATACTAATAAATTTTAACCGGCTTAGTGTTTTAAATTATTTTTGTACACTCTTTAACTCATAAACTTTAACCTATTCTAAATAGACTACATTTAATTTAATGTACTGCAACATTTATTTTTAGATAATCTTCGATTCATAAATAATGTAAGTAAGGAAAAACTGGCTTTGAGTCAAGACACATCTTGAATATTTGTTAAACAAAAAGAGGGCGTATCATTTATACACGAAAAACTTAAAGTGTGCCACCCTTTTATTTTACACCCCTTGTTGTCACATTTTTCATTGTTAGCTTTTACACAAATATAGAAAATGGAATATTTATTGAAGAATTTGTTAGTTGACTCTGTATCAATATTCCTTCTATTTTATTTTAAAGATAATTGAAACAAGTTAGCTTAAAAAAAGTCTAGTAACGGCTCGCTTTGTCATTTCTATTAATCTTACATTTTAATAGGGGAGCAACGGGTCCTAAAACGGTTAACTGAGGACTAGATATAGCAAGGTGTATCTGCATAGAACTTACTTTAGAAAAGACAGGTGAAATGAAGTAAATTAAACGTCAGCGTTTACATGATTGATGAAAACTTACTTTTTTATCTTTACATGATCTATCCTTGCTAATTTTTAAAATGGCGTTAAAATTGAAGGTTTTTAGCCGACATGTTAGATTCAATTTGATTGGCCAAATAAATGTTTGAATCCAGCTCAGACAGGATAATCATGTAAAAAGCTGGAAGTCAAGCCTCGGTTAAAATGTGGATCGATTTGGAGTTCTAGGTTGTTTTCTATTGCCTCCAAAGGGAAATCCTTACGTTATACCGCGAGCCGGCACAAGACTTGTGAACAAATTGCTTTTTAAACAAGCTCATAATATGAATCAATGAATTGAAATATTAAAATATATTCCTGCGTCTATGCTTTTTGATCTAATGGCAAATATTAGTGACCTTTTGACCTGAAATCGGGTGTCAGAGTTCACACTTGTGAGGGTGTATTGGTGTACATTCTTGTTATAAAACACACGTTTGATTTTATACAGCCTGCCTGTTGTAACATGCATTCGTGGTATTGTATTGTTTTGAATTTAAATGTACATTTTGACAAGCATCTATCCATCCGTAAATTCATCCTTCGATTTATCTTTTTGTACTAAAATGTAACTAGCACAGACTCAAATACCGACGAGTGGGTCATTAAGATGCGCATTTTATTAACAAATGGAGCTTCAAAACAAGCATTACAATTTAATTCTCACTAAAATAGTTAATTGTATACTTACAAATTACATTCACAGTTAGATCTTTGCTTTGTGGTGCACCACCAGTCCTTGTTGCTCTACATCTGTATGTTCCAGCATCTGAACTCTGAAGCTGTCCAATGTTTAATAAAGCTGAGCTACTAACAAGTGTTCTTGATGGCGTCTTTGACCACGTAAAACTACATGTAGGATGACATGATGCTGAACAAGTTACTTGATTGAGACTTTCGTTTTCGTCTTTCTTATAGCTTAAATCACTTGGTATAAACGCAACGTTATCTGGACCATCTGAAGATATACATTTTTAAAACCTTTTTGTTACCTTTGCTCATTACCCTTTTATTTGGTCAATTCTGACCATAAATGTCTCAACATATAGAAATGATCTATTCTAGAACTACATAAAAGATGACAGGTTACAAATCACTTCATAAAGATTCTTATTTCCTTTTTTCTGATAGACTGCATCACTTCGACTAAATATAAAACAATCTGGACCATCTGATATTTATGATATTAGTCATAAAGATTTTTGACAGGTTATGAAATTATAAATAATATATATAGATGGTTGTTTGGAAATATCATCTGAGTGGCCAGGCGAGGGCTATATTGCAAACAACAACTTATATACGGCTATATAACCTCTCATAATTATTTATAACGAATTTATAATACAGCATGCATATTTTATAGAGAAAACGGGTAAAATTTCTTCATAAATTGACAACACCCGTGTATATATAACTATATTAACGTCAAGATTATTTAATGAAAAGCGAAGTAACAAACGAGCAGTAATATAACAACGAATGTGCAAGGGTTTACTTATAAACAATGCAAAATTAATTAAGGTTTTTTAAGTTTTTTAGAAGAATTAGAAAGAGATCCGACTCGAGATTGTTGCTACTCTTTTTATGCCCTTCATACTTTAAAATTAAGGATCTCGTTAAAACTATTTCCGGTTCAACTGATAAATATCAATACTTCTAAAATCCGGAAATTGAAAACAAACAAAAAAACAACATCAACAAACATTGGTAATATAATAATACATGGTACTGTAAATTTGCAAATTGAAAAAAAAAACAATAAGTAAAGAACATGTTGCTATATATTTGAATAGCAACCTGTCAAACAGGTCATGTTTACAATAAGAAATTTCCATAACAAACAATTACAGGTTTATAGCTTGTACTTCATTAAACATACTTTAGTCTTAAATTTTGAAAACACTTTAAAATTAATATCATGTAAGTTATAGGTGGAATCAAATTCAATTTACTTGTTAAGAAAATATTCTAAAATTGTGTATTTTTATACTATTTTATAAACTTCATATATTTTTAATCACATCTAAATAAAAAAAAACTGAATTTCTTCTTGTTCACTAACTTCAAAACTTCTGACTCCCCGAAACTAAAAGCATTAGACCATAATTTATGGAACGCCATAGCTGCCTCATGTTATTACATTTCTTTTTATCTTGCCAAGAAAGCGTCTTATCATGTCAAATATAAGCGTTGTAATGTCATTGTAATTTGTTGACTTGTCTAAACATTGCCTTATTATGCGTAACAGTAGTCTTATCTCTTTAAAATATGATGTTGACTTGTGTTAACATTGTTTAATTATTTCAAACAGTTGTGTTATCATGTCAAAATGTCGTTTTGGCTTGTCTGAAATGTGTCATATTATGTCAACTACAGTAACATGCCATAAGTATTGGTTAAAAAGGCGGCCATATTGGATTTAATTGAGCATGTCTGTAGGATTAGTTTCCCTTTGATCACATGCTGCCAATCAATGTTGACGTAAATACCACAGATATTAATAGCACAGCCATGCTTTTAGGTGTGATGTCATTTATGATGTCATCAATCACTGTGTTGTAGCATTCTTTGTGTAAACAATGTAATGGGTAGGAAAGGTCAAGAATTGTCACCAGATAAGAAGAATATTATTGTTGATTTGCATTTAAAAGGATTTAGACCTAGTAAAATATGTGAGACATTGGATATACCTTATAGTACGGTATTTAATATTTTGAAAAAATTTAAATCATCTGGTTCTGTGGAAAATAAATCAAGAAGTGGCAGACCTGCATTACTGACTGGGAGGGGTTATCGCGTTTTTAGAAAGACTTGTGAAAAAGAACAGGAGAAACTCATTATGTGAAATCACATGCAAATTTAATGAAAATGCTGTGAATCAAGTATCCAAGAGGACAGTCCAGCGTCATTTACACAAACACAACTTTAAAAGGAGGGTTTTAAGGAAGAGAGTGGTGGTAACAGTTAAAAATAGGAAAAAGAGGTTGTCATGGTGTTTACAGAAGAGGTGGTGGACTGTTGAGAGACAGTGGAAGAATGTTATATTCTCTGATGAGAGCCAGGTTGTTGTAGGTGGTGATAATAGAGTGTATGTCTGGAGAAAACAGAGTGAAGGATACAGACCGGACCTCATTCCATCAACTAAAAATAGAAAGTTCTCTGTTATGATATGGGGGTGTATATGTTGGGAGGGTGTTGGAACTGTTACACGTGTTGAAGGTAATATTGATTCACAGAAATACATCAGCATACTTGATGCTAACTTGTGGCCGGTTTTAGTCAGACATTTCCCAGGAGATAATTATTTATTTCAGCAGGACAATGCTCCGGTTCATACTTCACGGGCAACCAGTGATTTCATAGCTCAAAGTCATATAAAAACTATGTCATGGCCTGCCCAGTCACCAGATTTGAATATCATTGAAAATATTTGGTTGTTTATAAAAAGAAAATTGACAAATAGACTTACATCGATTACTTCTGAGGGTGATCTTTTCAATCACATTGAAGACATTTGGACCAGCATTTCACCTGAGCACATTCAGAGTTTGTATAAGAGCATTCCAAGAAAAGAAGAATTTTACAAGTTATTAGATTAAAAGGACATCTAACAAAGTATTAAGGTAAGGATTGTCAAAAAATTATGGAGAAAGTTTATTTAGTTGTTGCTGTTTTTCAATTTTTAAAATCACCATTTACGGTGAAAATCCAACATGGCCGCCATTTTAACCAATACTTATGGCATGTTACTGTAGTCGCGCTATTTGGTCAAATTGTGGAGCTGTTTTGTGAAAAGACTGTCTGATCATTTGAAACAGTAGTGTTCTCTTGTCGAAATTTGGTGGTGACTTGTAAAAACACAGCTTTATTTTATCAAACTGCCATTTTATTTTGTCAAAATATGGTGTTTAAATGCCTTAACATTGTCTTATTGTGTCAAACAACTATGTTAATTTGCCAGCGTACACTACTGAATTGTCTTTTTTATATCAAATATTCGAATTATCTTGCCGAAATAGAGTGTTGACTGGGCTAAATCATGCCTTATTATGATAAAATGTATGCTATTTTGTCCAAAAGCGGTTTTGACTGGTTAAAACTCAGTCTTATAAAGTAAAAAAATTGCGGTAACTTGTCGAAATGTGGTAATGACTTGTCTAAACTCTTTCTTATTATGTAAAACAGAAGTGTTATATTGTCGAAATTTGATGTTTTCTCAACAGTCTTATTATGTCTAATAATTGTGTAAAATTGTTCAAATTTAGTTCTGTCTTGAGAAAGCGCTGTCTGATTTTGCTAAACTGTCCCGTTATCTTTTTTGCTCTATCTTTTCACGCTCCACCAGGGCTCTGGACACGTGATACTAAATTTTGACAACATCGCATCTGGACAGGATAACACGATTATCTGACATAATGAGACGGTATTTAGAAAAGTTGATGTAATACATTGGCAAGTCAACACCACTGTATTACATAATGATGCTGTGTTTCAACAAGTAAACACCACATTTGAAAAGGAAAAATGATACTTCGCCATAAAAGGACAATGTTTAGTAAAATTAACACCTAACCTTGACAAAATAAAATGACACTTTGACAAAAAGATAGTAATTTTAGACAAGTCATCACCACGTTTCGACAAGATGATATGACTATTTGACATAATAAGACGAATATAGACAAGTTGAATCTGCATTTGGACATAACAGCATGACAGTTTGACAAATTAAAATAGCGTTTTAACAGTTCATAACCATAATTTGTAAAGATACCACCATTATTTCACATAATAAGGCGGTGTTTAGGCCGGTTAAAATAAAGTTTGGATAAAATAGCATGGCGATCTCAGAAAATAAGGCAGTGTTTAGACATGTCAATACCATTATTCGACAAGTCAAAAATACTGTTTGACATAAAAAAATAACGTTTACACAAACAAACAAAATTTATGGCAAGTCAACATTAGTATTTCACATAATAAGTATATTTTTAGACAGGATAACAACAGTTTTAGAGAAGAAAGCATAATGTTTTGGCACAATAAGACAGAATTAAACCATATCATACAAAACAACATAACAGTTTGACAAAACAGGACAGCACTCAGGCAAGTCAATATAACGGTTGAAAAAAGATATCACTACTAGCCGACATAATAAGACATGAGTTTGACAAGTTGACACCAAATTCCGACAAGATAACACTACTGTTTTCACATAATAAGACAATTTCTAGAAGACAAATTACCACCACAGTTGGACAAGACTGCATGCTATTTTTGACAGAAAAAAATTCTTTTAAGCATGATATAACACCGAATTTGAACACAATGACATGGCAGTCTGACAAAATGTGAGGGTGTTTAGACATGTCAATGCCACGTTTGGACAAGACAAAACGACAGTATAACATAATACAACAGTGTCATAACATACCAGGGTCACATTTGGATAGATGACACCAACTTCCGACAAGATAACACTACTGTTTCACATGATAAGACAATTTCAAGACAATACATTTAAACAAGTCTGTGTTCAGACATATTGAAATCTTAATTTGAAAAGATGGCGTGCATGTTAGACATATTAAGCTTCCATTCGGCATGTTAACACCGGATCTGCACATGATAACATGACGTTTTGAAATAATAAGACAGTGTTTAGACAAGTCAGCACTACGTTTGGACAAGATAATTGAATATTTGACCTAATAAGACTTCGTTAAGACATGTTCTCATAAAACGTGGGCAAGCCAACACTTCTATTATACTTAATAAGACGCTTTTAGGGAAAAATAAAATGAAATGTAACAACATGAGGCAGCTATGGCGTTCCATAATAATTGCTAGCCCCACAGGTTTTTATTTTTAGAGGTTACCACGCTTGTTATTTATAGGTTGTATAATAGGGATGACAACACACTTTAAGTTACAATATCTTATATTTAGAATAATTGCCTAATTTACAATATATAATCCAATAAAAGAAACAAATAACACACTTGAAAATATATGATAAAACATAATTGGGATGTCGTCAATATAATTAAAATGTTAAATAAATATTTACTTAATCATATTTTATTTTCATTAACAAACTATCAACACAAGCTATAGTGAAAAAAAAACTGTTTGTATATCCGGCAGGATAATCTAGCGTTCTTTTTCTTAACAAAATGATTAAATATGTTTATCATCTTAACACAAATGAAATTTAAAAGTACTTTTGTTGTAGAACACCGTGTGTATCAAGTACCGTCGGAATGTGAATATCACGCACGATTCTTGCATAAAGTAAAGCAGAAATGTGCAACAAATGGCAGTCGTGTGCGGCTATTCCTTTTTTCAGTTTGGTAAAATAAAAAAAAAAATATTTTGGCCAGTTTACTTAACGCGTTGGAAATCCTGTTAGGTATCAGCCACATTTCTACTTTACGTTTTGAATGAATCGTGCGTTATTTTCACATTCCAGCGTTACTGAATATACAAGGTGGTGTTCTACAACAAAAGTAGTTGAACTAATATTTCATTAAATTTCATTAGTGTTAAGGTGATAAAAATATTTAATCATTTTGTTTAGAAAGAGAACTTGGAAATCCGAACCCTCGTGTGTGCGATTTGGGAATGATCTTTCCTCTATCACGCCTGGTAAATGATAGAGCTACCTCTTTCGGAGATATACGGTAAATCGCTCTATCGCTTCTTCCGAGCTTATACATGTCGCTAAAATCAAATGTCAATGTTTTCCTTTTTTATATATTTTATAAATTCTACACTTAGTCTAAATATCGAAAATCGGAGAGTGCTATGCCATGTATATTTGATGAAAGTTTCCAGAAAACGTAAAATTGTTGTAATTGTGTTTGAAATGTAGTTGTGGCGGCGTTTCCCAGTTCGCGAACTTAGCGTTGAAATGGACCGTTTCATCATAAAACAGATTATTTTTCCTAAAATTTTAATCTAAACAGCGATTCAGATTAAAGACAAATACGTTTCCAGTAGATGTAAGGTCTAGAAATGAAATAAGATTGAAATCAGATCAAAACATTAGTTACTAAAGAAAATGAAGGATATTTTTTCTGGGAGACAGCTCTGTCGAGAAGGAGGTAGTTATGTCG